AACCAGTGGCATTTTTTATATATTTATAATTAGGTCCCCTTATGTGATTATTCTTTTTTAAAAAAAAAAGAAAAGAAAAAACTCAATCTGTTATTGGTATTGCTATAAAGAGATGCACATAACTATTCACAAGTGATATATAGGAGTATTTTTTTATTTTATTTTATACAGTTTAAACACAGGCATATACTAAAAGAGATATTTAATATTGGCTGCACAAAGTGATCCAATGAGCATATCGTGTCACCATGGTTTTTCTTAAACCCAGAACTTCCTTTAGCTGTGACAAGGAGGTTGTTATTGGGACAATTCGACGTTAGCATCATAAGAATAAATGTTTATATAACAATACAAATTATATAAAAGTTTAATTTTCCTATAGTTTTCTCAAATCACATGTCTGCAAGCAATAAACCATTGGCAGCAACCTTGATTTGCAACATCCTCGGAAAGAAGTTTAGATTGAAATCAAAACTAAATTCACCAGGATATTCTAAAATGAAGGCATTTTCGGCTGCTTAATCGGGGTGATCTGTGAAGAAGGAATTTTGGCTCTCGCACCAAAACGTAAACTCTGGTTTTTGTCCATTACATTATTAATCTTGTCATTTTTTTAGTTAATCTCGGGTTATTAAATTTTAATAATTGGAAATTCATTTTTATTGAATTTTTGAATTTCAATTGTATGCTTATTAAGTATTAAGTCTTATTCATAAATTTAAAATTTACCCAACCATATTAAATTATTTAAAAATAAAAAATATAATTTAAAATGTTAATAAATTCTTTTAATTTTAAAACTTAAATATAAATGGCTGTAAGATAAAAAATATATGTACTATAATTTATTTTTTCGCAGCACCTTTATAATTTCTTATTTTAAAACACATGTAAGTTTCTTTTTTCTATTCAATTGTTCTTCATATGTCTCCGTTCTCACACGTATAAATCATGGCTTAGAAACATTAGCAACTAAGTTTTGGCAAACAAAAAAATTTATTTTACTTTTAAAATAATAATAGGATTAATATAATTGTCTGTGCCTCAACTTTGTCCTCGATTTGGTTTTAGGTCATCAAATTTCAAACTATAAGTTTTTGATCTTTCAAATTTCTTTTTGTCTAAAATATTAATTCCTATAATTTAATAAATATCTGAATCATTTTACTGGTGAAACCCATGATTTGAAACTCAAAGGGTTAAAATTAAAATTCGTCCAAATTTGAGGAATAAAAAATTCCATCACAAGCCATAACAATACTCTATGATCCCAAATATATGACTTATTTTATAATGCAAATAAGTCTTACATTGCAAAATGGGTCTTATATTTAAGACATGAATATTTACACTACAATATAGGTATTATACACGAGAGATAAGATAGATTAAATTTTATACTTAAAATTAAATTAAATATCAAACTAATTTTTATACTAATAACGTCAAATATTACTACTTCCGATCCTTAATATAAGACTCTGTTTGATTTTTATTTCGGTCCTAAATATAAGACCTAAATCCACTTTGTCTATCATATTTACTCAATTTTTTTAAGATAGTCTTTATAATAATTATAATTTTAGTCAATACACTTGATTAGTACGGATATTTTAGGAAAAATAATACTTATTTAGGATAAATAACTAACTCAACTTACTTTCTTAATCTTCTCAAATTAGTCAACTGGTTCTTATAATTAGAACCGGAGGTGGTAGATGACTAGTTCAATGAGTTAACTTGCTGATGTGGGGATGTTACCAGTTTTCATCGGGTTGACATATTTTTTACCGATTCAATATTCTCTGGATCTAGCGATTAGTATCTGTATTTCAGACGGGCTTGCGTCATGACTGGTTCCTCGGTGTGAACCGGCTTTCAATACAGTGGATAGTAAAGGGAAGTGGACAAACAAATTCAATTCATTAAAATTTAAAAAGGAGAGAGTCTAAGATATTAAGCCAGGATAAAAATTACAAAGGGGCACGCAAAGATTTAACCCCAACGAGGAAAATGTTAGAAATTAATGATGCAGTCTACATTCAATGTGCGAAAAGATGAATGCATCTTTTGTTTTTATTTTTCAATAAAGTATAACGTTGGTAAGTTACAAAACACCAATTGTGTATTTATTTTTGAGGATGGCGCACTGAATTTTGGAACGACGACTGTGTGTAATTACACAAATGACCCTGAATTTTCATAGGAAGGCCTGAAAATAAAGATACGGTGTAGCGTGTCCGTTGTGGTTGAATCCAATTCAATGGTTGGTCGAATGAAGACAAGGCCTCGATTCACAAACGAATCCTCTCACACTCTGACCTCTCTAGCTTGCACTTCCTTCCTTCCCTTCTTCTTCTTCTTCTTCTGCTATGCTCTCTCCGTTTCTTTCCCTTTATCATAAAACCGCCGTCGATCTGACACCAGAAAATGCAGAATGGTAGCCTTTTTGGGCTCAAAGGGACGATAACTCTGCTGTTCCTGGGCGTCGCACTGGTGGTTCTGCCGCTGCTTCTGCCACCGTTGCCTCCGCCTCCGATGATACTGATGATCGTGCCTCTTCTTATAATGTCGTTGCTGGTGAGGCTCGCCTTCTCTCGTTCACCTTACCCTGATGTGATCAATCCTCCTATTTGACGCACCTCTCTCAAGACTGATGAAGCTAGCGTGCATGCACAAGATGACAAGATGCGAGTTTAATTCTGGTCTTCTATTTTTTCGTGTCGATGTGAAATGTCTTAGGAGTTGCTTGATTTTGTTTTTGTTCTTTTGGGCGGATAAGATTGTAAATAATGGTTTCAGTGCAGATTAGTCTCTTCTCTTCGATTCTGTTCCAGAATAGCTCTTTCTCGTGAGTCTGACCACCGAGACTGAACAAGAATGTGAGTTGTGCAGTCGGATATGGCAGGGTTGGTAACCAGAGCAATGCAGGTAATTTTATAAGAAAACCTGTTAATGTAGCGAATGCCGCTATTAGAATAATCGGTTTCCTGATAAAGTTCATATTTTTAATTGCGAAACAAGGGAACTGAATTTGAAAAAACTTGAGATCGCAAGAAAGCGAAGGGAAACAGGTACGAGACAAGAGTTTGGAGTGTACGGTTATTTATGAATAATTGAATAAACGACAAAGTGTATGAACGAGGGGGCAGAGAAGGGGGGTGGGGGAGGAAGAGGAGAGTGAGGTAACTGATTTTGCTTCTTCCGATATAAGTTTTCTGGTGTTTGGAAGTATGTGTGTTGGGAGAAGAGATTTTCAACGCCGACAAAAGGACACGTCGAGGGAACAAGTTACCGCAGGATGCCTTGTTTTGTTTTCCAAGGAAAGGAAGAAGAGAGAAAAAGCAAACCGTGGGCGACATATAAGCAAAAGTAAGTTCATCTGTATCTGTATCAAGAACTTCTACATCATTACAACACCCATTTGCGCCGACTGCTCACCAATTCCGGCGATTTTTCGCCTTCTCCTCCTCCTTAAAGGCTACTCCTTTTACCACCCCACTAGTAACTGCTAAAATATCTAACTGACCCCTCTTTGTGTCAATTTGATTCCCAATATTTCATTTTTTTTATTTGAATTACGTAGTGGGGGTTTTACTATTGGGCCGAGGTGTTTGGGGGGCTATGTCTTGGTGGAAAAGGTTTGGTGGTTCATTGTTTTGTTGGGTGCGCAAGCTTGGTCCAAGAGTTTGGTATCGAATAAAAAAAGGGAATGAAAAAGACGAATGAAGAGGGAACAGTGAGACTGAATTCTGAGCAAGTGACTGCTGTGACACCCTATCCTTTTTTCACGTTTAGGGGGGGGGGGGTTGGAAAAACGAGTAGGTGAGCCTTGAAAGAAACTACGTTTGGACAACCGCATTGGACCGCCAAACGGCTACGTTTGCTTTCTACGTGGGATTTGCCTTCCCATGAACAGCAAAATTCAACAGAACATTATGATTCCAAATTTTGAAGCCATTTGTCTTCCTCTCTTGCCACGAAACTTCCCCCTCTGTACGCATCCTAGGCTGCTCAAAACATTACGCATTTACATATCAACAATTACATCGTCTCGTGATTCCTGAGACACTTCAGCCACGGTTCACTCTTGCAAAATTTTGACGCAAATCTTGTCGAGTAAATCTTCTTTCACGAGCAAATTGATTGTGATTTCTGGCGTGCTTCTAAAAAGGTACATTTGGGAAAGGAATTAGGAGCGGACCTCCTCTTTCTACCATGGTTTTTTTCTTTTTCACGATGGGAACGGGGATTGGAACAACTACAGGCTATTTGACACGAGCTTCAAATGAATCACCACGCCACAATCATTTGCGGTGATGCTTTCCTTTTCCACCGACTTTTTGGAAAATCGATCCTTAACTTTTTTGTTAAAATCAACATAACCATCCAATGCTCCACACACGAACACATTATACCCAATTCAAAAATGGATTTCTGATCCAATCAAAAATTCCTTTACTTTTTTTTTTAATATTCTCATCCTTCAATTAGTAATAGGATAAACATATATCAAAAGTTCAGTGTGAAATTGGAATGAGATAGATTGTTTAAAATGCAAATAATTAGGAATTGAAATAGGTACTTAGTACTTGAGATTATATAAAATCGGAGCCAGTAAAGGATAAACTTTGAATCCTAAAGTGTTCTATCAAAATCAAAGGAACTCTTTTTTTTTTTTTTTTTTTGTATCGTGCAAATCTTTGAATGGATTTTTTTCTTTTGGGGGGGGGGGGCTGCAATCTCATCATTATTGTTTTCGAGGCAACTCATCATTTTAAAAATGACGTCGTAGGTAGGCAGCTAGACGAGCCTAAACTAATGCGGGAGAAGCAGTAGTAGTTTTCGAAACTCCGAAGGCAGGAAATAGAGACTAGTTTCTCTCAACCATGAATCTGTCTCCCGAAACAATATCGTAGGCTGACCTAAATCCACATAACAATAGCGCCAGGCAGAATTATTACGGTCGTTGTTTGGGTGTAAGTGCAGAACAAACGAGCGAAGAGAAGACTGGGAAAATCAACCCATTAATTAATTAAAGAGAAAAAATTTCAGTCAGACAGAAATCGAGTGCCTTTTATCTACATTTTCTTGTACAAAGCGCCTTCTATACAAAACTAGGAAGAGAGAATGGGGCGACCCCCAACTGCAACCAAAAGTGGCGTTGCCGTATGGCTCTGAGGGGATAAATTAATCCCCTGAATTAGAGTTGGAATTTTGTTCTCCATCTGTGCCCCCCCGGGGGGGGGTTTGGGCACGTCAGCGATTCATGCACCGAGGCTCCATATGATACTGGACTCAAAAGTAAAGCTCGGATTGTGCTCCTAAGCGGACTGCAAAGTCACCTGCTCAGCCTCTCTTGTGTCATACTCAGCATTAGCCTCCGGGGTGTCTTCTTCGCTTGGTGGAACCAGCTGCCAAAACAACGGCAAGTACTTGTCCCACTCTTTCAGCATCGCCGCCCCTTTGCTACTCCCCGTTTTTTCCTTCAAACGCACACAACTTCAATTAGTCTCCACAACTTAGCTCGCACGACAAAACAAACTTAGATGTCTGACTGTTTTAAACATGCATAGATTTCATGCAGTAGTAGATATGGGCCTTACAACATGGGCTTCAATAAGGTTCTTCAGCTGCATCTGCCCTACAGGCGCTGATACGCGTTGGATTTTTACAATTTCTCTGTTTACCTGTCAGCATTTATACAGATAAGTGATCATAAAGATGAAACAACAGCAGCATATTTATTCGCTTCCATGCAACAAAAATAAGGGCTTTATCGTTCATTTCTTCTACATCTTTCCTTTTGACCTGTGGTTGTGCTTTCTTCGAGATGGGAAGGGGTAGATGGTGAAATCAGATCCGCCAAATCAGGAAAAAGAATTCCAGGGACTAAGCCCATTCATGCATATGGCTACCGAAAAAGGGGGGAGGAGACACTGAAAATGGGTCTCTGGCACAAACCTTGGGTATGAGAGTACTGTCTTCATCAAGAATGTAAGCCAACCCTCCAGTCATTCCAGCAGCCACGTTTCTACCCACTCTGCCAAGAAGTTAAGACATGCAATAGGCTCAGTAAATTCAGGTCAATTCATCCAATTCACCAATCACTAAAAAGAAAGAGGAAGAGGTTGGCTAAACAAGGGTTAAGTTTAGATGATGAAACATTACTCACTTTCCAAGGACAACCACACAACCACCAGTCATGTACTCGCAACAATGGTCGCCAGTGCCTTCAACAACAGCTTCAGCAAGTGAGTTTCGCACAGCAAATCGCTCCCCAGCCTTCCCTCTAAGAAAGACCTGTCCACCTGTTGCCCCATACAAGCAAGTGTTCCCCACAATAGTTGCATCCTCAGGTTGAAACCCTGTTTTGTCAACTGGCGTGACAACCAACTCACCTCCAGCCATTCCCTGGCAATAGCAGTACATAAATACACCCCACGTACTCATTACTTCAGCACTAAAACAAGCAAATAAAAATCACATATTTAAGCTATTAACCTATGTTCAAAAGAATAAGTTAATGAAGATACCTTCCCCACATAATCGTTAGCCTCTCCTACCAGGCGAATGTTCATTCCAGGGGTCAGAAAGCATGCAAACGACTGGCCAGCACTTCCTGTAAATCTGGAATAATGGAAAAAAGCATCTTATTTAATTTCCATATGATAAAACATGATATCAACTTTAGAATAGCAGAGGGCATCTTACGTTATATTCAACTGTCCAGCAAAACCAGTGTCACCATACTTCTTAGCAATAACACCAGCTATACGCCCACATACAGCACGATCAATGTTGAATATTTTAACAGTCTTGTTGACAACTTTTTCATTCTCAATAGCATCTGCAATCTGGATGATGAAAAAACATTTTTTTCACCTTATACAAGGCATGTAAATATCTTCCTCACATCGCTTCATGCTGTGATGAAAAACAACAGCCAACTTGAACATAAAAGGGGAAATTGCTGCTTTTCCCGTGTTAAATAAGAGGCTTCACGGCCTCAAAGTAGGCCGTGGGAAAAGGGCATGAACAGGGATTGACCATTGACATAAAGTTCATTCGATCTTAGTGACTGAGGTTGGGGTCATGTGAGCTATTTAATGCATGCGCACAGAATAGCTTCTTCATTTCCCACTTTGGAGGTTTAGGGATTAGATTCAGTTAAGAAAATACACGTCAGTCAATAGCATTTAAGCATTGACTCAAATTAACACAAGCTGGTCTAAAAAACATGCAACTGCAGGGGTTGTAAGTCAATAATAAAACTGAGCTAGACCTATAGTTGATTAAAAAGCTACCTCTGGGTCAGCTAACAAAGCATCATCCAAAACCAGACCATTGGTATGAGTTTCCTGTTTCCTAATTGCTGTACTGCTCCATTTTGGCAACCCAACGTTCTGAAAACGAAAGTTCCATTACAAATAAGCTAGAGAAGGAGGCAGTTACTGGATCCAGAAAGGCAATCAACCAAAAAAAAGAAAGAAAGAAAAGAAGATAATTTTCTAATAACGACCCAATTTAAGAAATATACAACACATACAGAGAGAATATAGCTGAGATCTATATGCTGAGTTTTGACTAGAGATATGTCTCGTGGTTGCAATAAGTCTGTCCGGCCAATTACATCATCCAACTTCTCATAACCCAGCTGTGCCAATATGCCTCTTACCTAGCCAGAATAGAAACTAAATTTATTTAATGCAGGACAAGCAACTTGAGCCAAACTACATAAATAATAAAACATCACTAGGGACAATTTCTAGAATGATGCATCAAGATAAATCTGAAAGAAGTAAACATAAGGCACATGATACCTCCTCAGCAACATACAAAAAGTAGTTGACAAGATCACCCGGTACACCAGGAAAACGTGCACGCAGTTCTTCCCTCTGGAGTACAATCAATTTGAAATTTAAAACAATGAAATGTATACGTGGTGTTATTAAAATGACAATTAACTAACAAAATACATCATTAAAAGAAGAGTTATATAGACCTCAATCAATTTGAAATTTAAAACAATGAAATGTATACGTGGTGTTATTAAAATGACAATTAACTAACAAAATACATCATTAAAAGAAGAGTTATATAGACCTGACTCGCAACACCAACTGGACAATTATTGGTGTGGCAAATGCGGGCCATTACACATCCAGTAGCAATCATGGCCACTGAACCAAAGCCATACTCATCAGCACCCATTGCGGCAGCCATCATCACATCAACTCCACTTCTAAAGCCACCATCAACTCTGAGAATGACCCTTTCTCTAAGCCCATTTTCAATGAGTGTCTGAAAGGAAAATATCAAGAATTAACATCCAATTTTCACTTAAATGTCAAGAATAAATTACAACAATATAATTCAATAGTTCAAATTATAACCTGGTGAGTTTCTGTAAGACCAAGTTCCCAAGGACCTCCAGCATGCTTGATAGAACTTATTGGGCTTGCTCCAGTTCCACCATCATGCCCTGAAATCTGAGAAGCAATAACAAGGTATAACTATTCTACTCAAATGAGCACTAAAATTTAAAAAAGAAAAAAAAAACATAAAACGAATTTTCTGTTGTTTTGAGTTTAACAGGTCCTTCAATGAAACCAACAATCTTTAATTTTTTATTTTCCTCCATAAATGAAGAACAATTTCATTAAAGAGGAACAACAAATACGGGTGATGAGAGTCTACTTCAGCCTAGACCATCAAAGTCAGTTCAGGACATCAAATACCGGACCACTCCAGATGCATAATGTATGACAGATGAGTTAATACCTGTATAATGTCAGCATTACCCTTGGCAACCCCAGATGCAACAGTACCAATTCCAGCTTCAGCCACCAGTTTCACTGAGACCTTGGCCTTAGGGTTCACCTGTTCAACCAAAAAAACCATGAAGATTTTCCTTGAGAACACTGGCTTGATTAAAAATGGGATGGGCAGATATAAAACGCTCAGTCACCTGATGGAGATCATAGATCAATTGAGCAAGATCCTCAATGGAATAGATGTCATGATGAGGAGGTGGAGATATAAGAGGAACCCCAGGTTTAGAATTTCTCAACCTTGCGATATACATGCTAACTTTTTTCCCAGGCAACTGTCCTCCTTCACCAGGCTTTGCACCTTGTGCAATTTTAATTTCTATTTGATCGGCATTTGCCAAGAATGTTGGGGTGACACCAAACCTCCCTGAAGCAACCTGTAGACAATGCAAGATACTTTTTAGAAGTAATTTGGACAGCATATGCATCAATGATTGCAAAGAAGGAGGTGTTATAAAGATTAGGAACTCAATCAGTTATTCTGAGTTTATCACTGACTGAATATCAATCAGTCCTGACAATCTATCCAATGCCTCCATCCTATGAAGAATTCCTGGAAAATTTGATGCTATAAGGAATTTTAACATATTTTGTAGTTAGAATAAAGAAAGTTACGCAATTGACATATTCCACCACCCTTAAGTTTTCCCAACATTCTGCAGTAACTGGCCTCACTTACTATATGCGATACAAGAACATAGTGAATGCAAATATCAGGTATGTAATTGTAAATTTTGACCGCTAATTCATTATAAAATATCAGTGTAATAACCTGTTTGATAGCACTAGTAGCAGTATCACCATTTTGAAGACCTTTGAGATGTGGCAGAGTAGGAGAATAACCATCAACAACATCTGTAAGTGGCTTCCAGCGAATGGGATCCTGAAAGCAGTACACAATATGTCATCACTTTTTGGCCATATATTATCATTAGTACCATAATGGGAGAGCAATTGAAATTAAAGCAAAAAGTGGGGCAATAAAAGGACTTGTTTAGAATTGATTGTGAGCACAATTAAATATAACCTGCCTTATTGTGGAATAGAGTTTATTTACCTCACCACCTTCCCCTGAATTGGATTTTCCACCTAGTCGGTTCATTGCAACTGCAATTGCTTCGTGAGTTTCTCTTGAGATAGCTCCAAGTGACATGCCACCAGTACAAAAGCGTTCAACAATTGATGAAGCAGGTTGGACCCTTCCTACAGGTATTGGAGCACGATCACTTTTAAATTCAAGGAGGTCACGCAGAACCTGCAACAGACTCGAAAAAATATCAGTTAATTTCAAATGATCACAATTAAAAGAAAAATTGTAAATCTAAGGAATTTCATTCTGGAGCCTCTGCTCTTGTTACAAAATAGGTTGCAAGATATAGAGGAAGTACACTACAGAAAATCAGCTACTTAATCCTCAACATCAAAGGAAATAAAGGCTACAGAAAACGAGCCAATCAACTCTAAATAAAAGGAAATGAACAGGCAACAAAAAGCTTCATCAAACAGACAAAACCCCCCCGCCCAAAAAAACAAAACAAAACACTTCACTTTAGTGCTCATTAACTACCTTAACTACCAAGATTTCTCCCAATAATCCCATGCCATTATTTCAAGGGATTTTGATGAGCATCTAGTTCAGGTGGAGAACTTCTCCAGAAAACTAGCTATGAAGGTAGGAGAATCAAGTCACCTAAAGTATCTCAAAGCACATCACATTATTCAATGTAGGACACAGGCATCTCATAATACCTTAGTCACCATTAGATTCCAACAAAAACAGTCATAAAAAGCAAAATTTTCAACTCACATTAACAGGCCGATTAGCTAAATGCTGCTGATACACTGAAAAGGCACTTTGACTTTTTTGACGAACGGCTTTGTGGAGCAACTTTGACATCTCTGGATTATTTGCATGATACTCCCCTTTGAAAAAGAGAAACGGTCTGTTAGAAACTTTCACCTACCAAGAAATATTCACAGGATGGGCCTTAACAGAATCTTGAACCATGCCTACACGCTATAACGCATGGCAAACCATTAATTACTTTCAAAAAACAATCAGTTTCTAAGACCCACATAAATATTGTACAGCGCAACATAAGGCTCATTTTATACAGCTTCTAAAAGTACAAATAAAGGCATAATAATTCTCTAAACTCCAAGTTTCTAACAAGTCAAGAAGCAAATGATACCTCCAGGTCTAAACTGTATAAACCCAAAATTTTCTAGCCTTTTAGCTGTATCCTCAGAAAATGCCTTCACCCAGAAAGACAAAGTCTCTCTTGCCAGCTGCACAAACAGAAAGTGAGAGGGAAGTTTCATTCACAAGTGGTATAATGCAAATTCAGTGCATCCCCACATTCATATTCTGCACATAGATCGAAACACTGAAACATTTTTGAAGTGAGTATAACTTCATGTTGAGTTCTATTATCGCACTGGTAACGCAGCATAGTGGACAAGAGTTTCAGTAGATTGTTTTGTTTCCAATGAAGCAGTAATTAAAGTTCTTGGCACCACCTGGACAGATGTAGAGAGCAAAGACCCTGAAGTTTTGAATTGCTCCTCTAGTCCTCTTTACAAGTCAGAGGGAGAAGTTTTTTTTGGGTCCCATTAATAAGTCGCATAATTAATTTTCAACATGAATGTACTATTTCGCTCTTTATTTATTATTGTGCAGATTGTTATTTTCTGGGAGAGTATATATTAAATAGGGGTAAAGTTGAAAAGTTATTAAATTTTAAGATAGAGTTAATTAGGTGTAAAGTTTTTCTTGGCTCTAATGAAATTCGTTGCTAGTGACTTTTAAATAATATCAGATGAGTAAAGAATATGGCACTTGAAAGGGAGGAATGTATTTTTGGTGCCTAGGTGTTCAGCCCAAGTAGCGGAGATTAAGAGGGCAAAATATTGAGGATGCTACTCTTAGGAAGTAGGTCAAGGCCAAAGACTTCTAGAAGTTGCCATTGTGCCAAGTGTGGCTGTGGAGGGAAGCGACAATAAAGTTCAGATAGCTGCTCACAGGGACCAGGTTGAAGAATTTTTCGGTTTGTGCTTCTCCCAAGGATGTTGTCAAAAGGAGTGCTAGTTACTTAAGTTCTTCAATAAATGAGGGAGTTCTTTTATTTGAGTGGGCTATGCTTTCAGCTTTTCTCTTCATAGGTTTTGTCTGTAATAAGACGCAGATTTTGAGTCTCACTTAAGGTAGAGTCTTAAAAAAGTACTAACAATTTTTTAGGTCAAAGAGTTACTAGCAAATACCTTATTAAGAGACATTAAGAACTCAGGAAAGTCTAGTAGAATATGAAAGGAGTTGCTAGCAAAAGGATGACAGGTCAATTTTTATGTATAAACCGATAGACCTTAAATACTATGTTTGTATGTATTGTCTGGTTTCTTCATTCTCTTCTGGATTTCCGCCATTTCAATCTTCTTATAAATACATGTAAAGGAAAATGGATACACTATGAAAATCATGCAAAAATAATCCAACACTTTCAAAATGCAAATTATATTATGGGATGCATGTATGGGATGCATGGAAAGGGTGCGGAGTGATAAATTTCTAATTTTTTATGTGCATTATTATCTAAAATAAGAGTGGTGCTCATCTCACTAGCAACATATTGTGATAATTCGAATTTTCTATGGGATTCATTACTGTATTCTAACTCACCTCATCAAAAGTTAATCCACCAATTTTTGATACACTTCCTCTAAATGCAAGATCAACAACTTCCTTTCCTAATCCATAGATTTCAAATATTTGTGCACCACAGTAACTACAAAAAGGGACTAAGTTAATCATTAACAAAAGCATAACATATTTGATTTAGAAAGAAAAATACAAATATACGAGAAACTATCAAATAATTAAAACATGATAATACCAATACTCCCCGGTATTAGTGGTTCTTTATAACTGCAGCTTTAAAATAAATCATAAAACAACGTGTACCTGGAAAGTAATGAGATGCCCATTTGGAAAGAATTTTAAGAAGACCCGCTTTAACAGCCTGAAAACCGGATAAAAAGATCATGACGAAACCAGAACTATGAATATCAAGCAAAAGTAGAGTTCTTCCAGTTTCCTGAAGCATACTGCTTTGCAAAACGGAGAGCATACATAAACATCAGGCAAGACATATATGTAACCACCAGTAAAAACTTATGTGCATGCAAAAATAAATAATAAAAGACTACAATGAAAAACAAGGCCAACCACATATTGACCACTCACCTTACAATAGTTCTTCTGCGCCTGTTCAATTGATACAGTTGATATCTTTCCATTCTTCATCAGATTAACAGTCTTGTTACTCAAACGCCATTGCCGACATGTCTCCAATGCCAAGTATGGACACACGGCACTAAAAATCCAAACAGACATTTTGTCATGCTCAAGATATTAGAGTCATGGAAAATGAGAATGACCTATGCTTCCTAGTTTCCACAAAAATACTAGAAAACAATTCTTTGACGGGGAAAACAAGAAGCTACACCTGGTCATATTACATAAGGAAATGGTCTATGACAAAGTTAAAGTTTCCTAAGTACATAAGCAAGACCACCATAGCTTGACAAAAATATAGTAAGAAACATGCATAGAGGATTCAAAAGGCATGCAAACAACCTTGCACCATATCCAATCAAACAGGCAAACTGATGAGTGCTAAAGCACTGAGCAGTATCTGCTACAAGTGATGCAGACGTGCGTAGGCCATTCTGAATTAGATGTTGATGAACAGCACCAATAGCAAGAAGGATTGGGATTGCTGGATGAGTTGGTTCCTAAGACAAAAGGGAATAATTAGTGCATCAATCCATGCTTAAAATATTAATAGAAAGTCAGTTAGAGGTCCAAACCATTCTTTTTATGAAAAGAAATTTGTTTTGAATGAATAAAAAAAAATTTGCAAGGAAAAAGTAAAAATGGGAAGGTCGGTAATTATTCCAAATAAGAATAGAAAATATCAAAGAAAATCGTTTTGCCCCGATCATACTGTACAAACAAAGCCCTGGTAACCATACCCCCCCCCCAGGGCACACTTTCTAAAAACAGTAGTAGGTTTTGCAAACCAACTCTCAAGTCTCAACGTTTAAATGTAAGAGTGCCATTTCTCTTTGGAGTATAAGGCTATAGTGTTAGATCGTAAAGGAGGAAAAATCCAGAGGCTAGGAGTAGAAAAATCATCATACAAATCAAACCATAAGAGACTCCTACAATGTAAGAGTTCCCTTTTACGTCCATCAAATGAGGACGAACTGGACACTTCATAAGCTACCACATCATCCATAATTTTCATTGATCACTTCTTTGACGAAAAACTACATGGCCAAGACCAAAGCAAACTACGAATTGGTTCTCAGTTTTCCAGTCGAACAGCTTGTTCAGTTTTGACAACTTCGGGTAAAAGAACTTCAACTTAATGCAGATGTATCTGAAGGACCCCAGGTATAAATAGAAAATTTAAGCAGAGTAGCAAGGGACAGGTTAATATGAGGGGAGTGTGTAACTTTGACGACAAGAAGAGATCACATGTAACTATCTGATAGCCTAGTCTCAGCAGTACTTTTATGAGGAAGGCTTAATAACACTGAATCAAGAGAAAGCAGAGAGTATCATGTAAAAAATGATGGACTGGTTTGGGAGATAACATCTTGAAGGTATTCTCTCCATGAAGGTCATTCTGCCATTCTCTGTCTATCCGAATTCTATAGATTTTGGTATTTCTCTTATATTGTCTTGAGTTCTGCTCAGGTTTCCTCACAAAACAGGGGAAAAAAATTAAGAGAATTTTTGGAATACGACACAAATCAGAGGAAAGCAAGAGAATATTGCTTTTTGTAATAATCTACTGAAATATGCCTTTTTTTCATCTGCTCCATCATTTAGATCTATAAAATGGAAAGTTTCAAAGTGTGATCAATAATCTCCCTTGAGAAAAAAAGCACTTCAGCAAAAGTATGCGAATACTTCAAGATTGTACTTACTAGTGCATCTGAACGATCAGAGAAAACAAGCAGCTGTGAGCCATTTCTGACAGCTTCATCAGCAGCTTCACAAAGTCTATCTAATGCCTTCTCCAACGAACCTTCAACCCCTTTGGTTATATCAAAAAATGTTGGTAATACTTGCGGTTTTAAGTGGGGATCTTTCAACAATGACTCAAGATCCCCTTCATTCAACACAGGACTAGACAATATAACCTGAGCCAAATCAATAACGTAAGCTTGGGGGCAGAAAAGGGTAACAAAATAATGGGAATCACGGACTGATACAGGCTGACGGAATATGGTTACAATTTATGATAAGCACGCTAAAATACCTGTGAGGCATTCTCTGGTCCAACTTCCAATATATTCCCTCGCTTCCCTATATTGACTTCAAGAGACATAACCAAGCCTTCTCGAAGAGGGTCAATAGCAGGATTTGTGACCTGCGCTTATGCAAATAAATAGCACTGAAATGGCTTCCTAGGAATAAACTTCTAGAGCATTCTAAAAATATTATAACCATCAAATTTAATAAAATATGAACTGAGATGATTATGTCATTCCCAGTATATTTTCTATAATACAGTAGTGTTTTAAAATATATCAATCACACCATATTTATGACTCTCCCGCTAACATCAGATGACAGTAAGTAGGAACAGCTTGAATATTTTTATCATTAATAGCTATTAATTGGGTAGGAGTGGTTGGGCCCTAGTCCAAACCCATGTGTTTTTAGGTGTTCGGATTTCATCACAAGTCTATGGACATCATTGAGAAAGACTAATAGAAAAGAGATCTATAACAGAGCAATAGAGATCCCTAACGCCTCTGCCTATCAGAGAAGCATGAATTCATGAAGATTGTGATGGGTGCCGACCCATTTATTCTTATCACTCTTTGATGTCTCTGGCCACCAAAACATGCAACAAAAGACATAGAAGTCTAGGGTTTTATGTCTCTTGCGGCCATTGGCACAAGAGACATAAAAATACACAATAGAGGAGTAGAAGGTTAAGCAGAGAGAATGAGTAGTGCACAGAACTTCCTTAGATAGACGCCCATATCAATTATCAGATGACAAAGAAAATAAATTATGTTGCATTTTATAAAACGCAGTGAAAAATATAATCAAGCTTCCGCTAAAGTTTAGTGACTGATGCAATTGTTGTATTTAACAGAGGAAATTACAAGTTGCAACTCCATGAACTGTTGTGGAAAATAAGTTCTTCCAGCGCATACCTGTGCAAATCGTTGCTTGAAATAATCGAAAAGCATATGTGGCTTCTGAGATAATGCTGCCAGTGGAATATCATCTCCCATGCAAAATGTGGGCTCCTTTCCTTGAGAAGCCATAGATTCAATCACCATTTGGACATCTTCACTTGAGTAACCAAATGCCCTGGTCTCATTAAAGATTGGAATATAAGCACCATAAAAGAGGTATATGCAGAGATCCAAGGCTAACAAACTCGACCATCACCAAGGCTGGTTCCTACGACCGAAGCAAACATACTAGACCATCATCATGTTACCAACCGATTTTGAGTTCACCTGAGGTCATTTGATTATATTTCATATGTTCATAGGAACCTTAATTCACTTGCGTTGATAAAGCAGAGACCCCGTGCAAGATGCTTTTACTAACCCTTATGCAAAAAAAATTGCGGTTTTAATATTTTATTATTGCAACACTTCTGTCAAATGCTATTCGGACAGCATAGAGAACTAAGAGAATAGCAACCATATAGACCATAAAGGTTTTAACAAGCCAAGGCGTAGCAGTGTGTTTATATAGGATTTATGAAGCCAACACCAAAGAACACATTATCTTTTATCAGGATAAAACTGAAAAACGAACTGCATAGAATTCTCACTGTTGGTGTCTTAATATTGCATCATTGTCCATGACCGCTGCCGAAAGGAAGTTTGCTGGCTTAAAAGACCGCAAGTTACCCTTGACCCACTCCCCATACGGATTTGATAAGGCTACTCGCTTTTTAACCTCAGTATTTTCAAAAACCTGCCATGCAAAATAATTTATATTTAAAAAATTCCTTAAAGCAGCAAAAACAACAGCTTTTTACAAGCATTGATTCCAAGATTAGAGGTCAATTATTAGAAAAAGGAAAATGCACGGAGAAATGGCCAAGCTTTACAGATCAGAAATTTAGGGTCTCTTTAGTATGAGGAAACGGAGAGGAGGAGAGGGGAGGGGCAATTTTATTGAGTTTAATTTAAAAAATTGGAGAAGTGGGATTAAAAGATTTTAATTAATTTTTCTCAGTTTTTAATCTCACATCTTCTCTTTATTAAAATTTTATAATCCCATTTCTCCAATTTTTCAAATCAAACTCTCTCCCCTCCCTTCCACTTCCCTCATGCCAAACAAAGTGAGGGATACAAGTGCTTTATTAGTCAATTAAATCGAAGTGGTATAATCCAAGTGGCAGCTTTGAGTTTTCAATTCGAAGAAGTCCGTTTTCAAAAGGAGCCGAGAACTCAATTTTTCTACTCCTTTATCAAATCGAGAACGAGAAAGAAGCACTTAATTGTTGGAAGTATCAATACATTGTTAACTGATGATAGTGATAGGTAACTGCTATCCTGAGCTGGCCCATTAAAGGATATTAAGTCATTCTCTTAAAAAACAACTTTTTACGGGAAACAAATCTGAGGCTTCATAGTCAGGCTTGTTTTTCTTCCTTGTTCTTGCTTCTTTATCTGTAGTCATAATATTTGTTTATCTTTAAAATCATATTACTATATCAACAGGGTGTTTTACTGCAAATGTACATCCAGTAGATGCTCGAAAAATAAGGACCTCAATATTCATAAGTAGCTACTGAAAGAGACTGTGAATCAACCGAAAAACGAAAGTTGTCATGCAAACCTGACCACCAACTAAATCAACCGTTATCATCATCCCTGGACCTAATCGGCCTTTCATGATAACCTTTGATTCATCAACTGGTAGAACACCAACCTGAAGAAAGGAAAAGACAAGACAATATATCATTAATCACTGGATGTAAGTCATGAACTAGGCTTAATAGATTACGTCATTAATAATTACTACTGCAAACAAGTACTAGAGAAGGTAATGATGGAAATTTTTTTATGAACCAAACTATAATGCATTTAATTTTTTATACGAATAACCACAGGACATTTGGCCAAAAAAAAAAAGCCTAGTCAAGACAACAGACTTAAGAAGAATGCGATTATCTGCAGAACATAAACTAGATAGACTCTTAGTGTCAGCCATTTCCCTTGCCTGCAGAGGACAGTTGAACCTTTTTGCAAGTCTATAATAAAAGGACAACAAGGAGGCACATTAGAACCCGCATACAAAGGGTGAACCCAAGGGACTACAGAAGGTGCCAGAAGAAAAAAAATAAAAATAATACGTGGCCAGCAGATCTGCATTCCATTGGCTGAGTTCGTTTCTATATCAACCAACTACAAATTTCTGCCAATAAAAATTGTAAATAGAACGATACTAATTAAAGGCCAGCAAAGAAAGCCTAAATCTTTAATGAACCAACAATGACAAAGATGTGGAATTGATACACGATCAGGTAAAACAAGTTAGCCAAATCCTAAGCTCTTCAAAGTCCAGTACGAGCCCCAAAAAAAAAAAAAAAAACTACTACACACTCCAAAATCACAAAACTTCTGACTGGTAAAATCTGTGACACCAAATTGATTTTATCTTTAAGCCAACAGATAAAAGAAGGGACTTACCTCTGAGGCAACATATACAACATTGTCTGATGTTCTCCAATACCTAGCAGGCCTCAGGCCATTACGATCAAGACATGCGCCAACAGTTTTTCCATCACTGAGTCATATAAATTGAATTAGCGATAACCAGGGAAAAGGGGAAACTATTGGGAGAAAAGATTAAACATAAAATGTATGCACTATAACTAAACAATGAAGAAACTAATTGAAAAGAAAAATATGCGTTCAAAGATAAAGATTAAATAAATGATGAATAACAGCCCCAGCAAAAAAGGCAAATATTTCCAGAATGTAATATAATTGTTATGACAAATTTTCAACCCAAATTTACGTCCTTGATTTCATATATTGTGTTCCCCTAATATGTGCCTCTTAAAATTAACTTTCCCAATGAGTTATTAACCTAAATTAAACTTCATCCAGGAAAACACCAAGAAAAGGGTGTAATTCGTCGTCTAAAGCAAAAAAGTTGCCAAGAAAAGCCAACAGAATAAAAACTTGCATCTTGCTCGTGGAGCCCTTGGACAGGTAGACAACCCCCATTTCTTTCTTTTTTCCCATCATCATAAATAAAACCGTAGCCACACACAGATTGGGATCATCCAAATTCTACTTTTACTTTAGTTTCCATGCCACCATGATCAATTTAACTCAATATTGGCAGAAGCAAAATGAATTAGGATAGGGAGGCAAAGCAACTATATTGCTTCACATTCTTTAGACTCATTACCTGAATAAAAGCAAGGCCGGTCCATCCCATGCCTCCATTTGACCCTTGTAGTAGTCATAGAAGTCAACCACCTAAAAAGCAACATAGGGTTACAAATACTTCAATTTGGAAATGTAAAATATGATTCAGAGCATTGATAGAGTTTCACAGTAAAAGGAAATAGGTTTTCACTTAGCGTAGCAAGCTTCAATGAGTACTATTAGTGAGGTTTCATTTAAAAGTGGGGGCCCATGAACCACTCTAGATGGGCAATTCCAGTTACAACTGAGATTTTTCTTCACTCTCTTACTTAAACCTTCCAGTAGTAGGGCTAAGG